CAAACGTACAAAATCAGCAGGGGATCAAATACTTTTTTCCCTCACTGTATGTGGTAGGATTAACCACAGCCAGTAGATGGCGATAGTATTGGTTTTAGTGACAGGCTAGTTTTAGTCACAGGCTGCTGCAGGGCTGCAGCTGCATACTATTGGGTGGGTGGCCTCTGTTTTCTCTCTTCCTCTCAGTCTCTCTCAATGTCAATCTCTCTCCCCCAGACAAGAGGAATGCTGGGTAAATGAGGCTGTGGTGAACTGAGGCAGGGGGAAACTACTGCAGATAGAAAGCAGGAGTCTAGCGGTCTCCCTCACTCAGGAGAGAACACACAGGGTAGGAATTATGTGGTATTACCAGGAAAATTAGACTGATTGAAAATATAGAGAGGGACTATGTGGATGATGAAGGAGAGAGTGTGGAAAGATGCAGAGAAGGAATTATGGTAGGCAGAGCTGGATGGTTAGTGTGAGACCACACAGAAAGTGGATGGGCCAGAAGAGGATGGGGTCCCACTTTTTGGTTCTATCCAAAGTTTATCTTTGCAGGGTTGCCATTGAGCACTTTGCATTATCTGAAATTGATTTGTTGAATGGTCATTTGATTTTGCTTTTTAGTTACCACACCTCATTGCCTCTCACTTTCCTTCCTTCTTCTCTCCTTACTCGCGTCATCCCTCTGTCCTTCTGACTCAGCTTCCCAGCCCGGCCCCAGACACTTATCACATTGCTGACATTTATCTAGGGTTTTCATCCAAACCACTAAGTCTCTCCATCCCTTCTAAAGGGAGGAGAGACGAGTTTCAGAAGGCTGGGGTTAGTGGGGTATAAACCACTAACATCTTAGGGAAAGTTACATGGCTGGTTATGCAGGAAATCCAGACATCCAAACCACTAAGCCCTACTCATCACCAGAGTGAGTGGAACTTTTCATGTTTTCATGTATGAATTCAGTATCCTGGTGTAGTTTGCCTGCAACGAAAGCATCATATCAGACTCTTAGGACAGTGTGAGTTTCAAGCTGGGCTTGAAGGGCTCAAGAGGCTATAAGGCAAGACAGTCAGACACATAATGCATAGACAGAGAAGTTTTAATATACCATCAATTTATAAATGTGTTCAAAGTACAAATCATTGGCTTTGATAATTAACAATACTCCATAGTTAATACTCAATAACTCATGATGCATTGCATCCATACATTAGTACTGTAGCTTTTACAAAATACTATATTATGTACACTACCGGTTATATTGCAAAAAATATATACACACCAACGGTCAAAAGTTTCAGAACACCTACTCATTCAAGGGTTTTTCTTTATTTTTACAATTTTCTACATTGTAGAATAATAGTGAAGACATCAGAACTATGAAATAACACATATGGAATCATGCAGTAACCAAAAAATTGTTAAACCAATCAAAATATATTTTATATTTGAGATTCTTCAAATAGCCACCCTTTGCCTTGATGACAGCTTTGCACACTCTTGGCATTCTCTCAACCAGCTTCATGAGGTAGTCACCTGGAATGCATTTCAATTAACAGGTGTACCTTCTTAAAAGTTAATTTGTGGAATGTATTTCCTTCTTAATGCGTTTGAACCAATCAGCTGTGTTGTGACAAGGTGGGTGTGGGGGGGGGGTGGGGGGGGTATACAGAAGATAGCCCTATTTGGTAAAAGATCAAGTCCATATTATGGCAAGAACAGCTCAAATAAGCAAAGAGAAACGACAGTCCATCATTACTTTAAGACATGAAGGTCAGTCAATAGGGAACATTTCAAGAACTTTGAACGTTTCTTCAAGTGCAGTCGCAAAAACAGTAACAGACACATCTCAACATCAACTGTTCAGAGGAGACTGTGTGAATCAGGCCTTCATGGTCGAATTGCTGCAAAGAAACCACTACTAAAGGACACCAATAAGAAGAAGAGACCTGATTGGGCCAAGAAACACGAGCAATGGACATTAGACTGGTGGAAATTTGTCCTTTGGTCTGGAGTCCAAATTGGAGATTTTTGGTTGCAACTGCCGTGTCTTTGTGAGACGCGGTGTAGGTGAATGGATGATCTCCGCATGTGTGGTTCCCACCGTGAAGCATGGAGGAGGAGGTGTTATGGTGTGGGGGGTGATTTGCTGGTGACACTGTCTGTGATTTATTTAGAATTCAAGGCACAGTTAACCAGCATGGCTACCACAGCATTCTGCAGCGATATGCCATCCCATTTGGTTGGGCTTAGTGGGACTATCATTTGTTTTTCAACAGGGCAATGACCCAACACACCTCCAGCCTGAGTAAGGGCTATTTTACCAAGAAGGAGAGTGATGGAGTGCTACATCAGATGACCTGGCCTCCACAATCCCCCGACCTCAACCAAATTGAGATGGTTTGGGATGAGTCAGACCGCAGAGTGAAGGAAAAGCAGCCAAAAGTGCTCAGCATATGTGGGAACTCCTTCAAGACAGTTGGAAAAGCATTCCAGGTGAAGCTGGTTGAGAGAATGCCAAGAGTGTGCAATGCTGTCATCAAGGCAAAGGGTGGCTATTTGAAGAATATCAAGTATCAAATATATTTTGATTGGTTTAACACTATTCTGGTTACTACATGAGTCCTTGTGTGTTATTTTATAGTTTTGATGTCTTCACTATTATTTAATGTAGAAAATAGTAAAAATAAAGAAAAACTCTTGAATAAGTAGGTGTTCTAAAACTTTTGACCGGTAGTGTATATGCATACAAATATTCATTTATACAATTTACTTCAACAAAAACCATAAAGAACAGAAAATACAACTGAATCTACTTTTCTTATCAAATGATTTGTTCAGATTGTTAAATTGGAGTAAGCAAACGTCAATGTGTAAGCTCATCAAAATCCATCAGCTATCAAACAATCATCAGCTTTTCAGATACAGTGTAAGCACTTCACATACATTTTGCATATAGAATGTTTACCACTTGAGGTAAGGTGGGATGTCTTCTTATGATATGTAGATAGAATCCTCTCTAAAAGATCACTAGTGTTCATCTACTGTTCAGCTACACGAAACTACTAAACCGTGCCTAAAGCTATCGTCTAGAACTGCCTGTGCTTCTATTACTTCCTCTCTCTCTATCCCTCCTTCTCATCTCTCTCTTTCTTACTATCTAATCAGAATGAATGGGTTAAAGCCCTGGGCCGGGGACATACAGGGTTACCTGCCAGCTCCAACCTGCCCACCCTTGTTTGGACACTCTATGCTCACACAATCTAGGGACATTTTCACTGCATCATAAACTACTTCACTATCCAAACAGATGAGTGGAAATCAGATACAAGATAAAGCCAATAATCAATTGTTACTGTTACTCAGACTTGAACAGATATGACAACTTGCGCTGCCCTTGTCCCTGTCCACATGTCAAGTGTCTGATTTGGTGAATATAACTTACCTAAAATAAAACTGTTGGTATGAAGATGACAGAATAAAGGAGTCTGATATTTTCTGTGTGTAGCTTACAATTAGTGCTGTGTTTATACAATACATGTGTCATCCTCTCTCACACATTTTGAATCACACCATGCAATCATTGGACAGGCTACACTTAAACATGTTAAATGTCTTTCACAAATGCCACTCACTATTTTTTTTTTTTTTTTACTTTTGTTATAAAAAAATGTAGGGGGTAGATCAGCTTTAATATTGCAGATAGATCGTAGCTTCCATCAATGTAATTGTCTGCATCACTTCCAATCCCCCATATGTGCCACTCACTACTACTGTAGTTTAAGAAAGGAAAAATAAATGTACAACAGAATCAAAAGATACATTCAGGGGGAAAGCCAGGGTTGGAGAAGAGTTAGCCTCTTTTAATTTACACATACTATATCATCACTGAGCAGAAAGAGACGCAGTCATTAGTCCCTGTCCTGGTTCACCTCCACTTTATCTGGAAGACCTCAACATGTAGTCTATCTCATTGACTTACAGCATTGAAAATCTCAGGAAACCAAACGTTGCCTCCTTTTTAGTGATAAGCCGCTAACACCGTACTCATTTGATTTGAAGTCATTCCTTGGTTATGAAAATGGCTCTACTCTCAGTTTAATGAATGGCTCTTTGAAAGATAACCGATGGGAATTGTGTAGAGTAGACCGCTGAATACACAACATTGACAGAAACACTGAATCAAAAGGTCTATATTTTGACTGTAAGAAACAATCAATCACAGCTCAATATCAATAAGCAGAACAGCACAATCAATGATCAGCATTTACACCAGCACAGTACACAAAACCCACTGAAACAGGAAACGCCAAGGCAAATCTGTGTCAATCAATTAGCTTTAAATGCAATGCAGGCTATGGCAAGAAGGTCTGTAGAGTCAATACCTGTGCGTGGGACTAGCTAGAGGGAGTAAGGACGCATAGGAGGCTGGTAGGAGGAGCTATAGGAGGACAGGCTCATTGTAAGGGCTGGAATGGAATTAATTGAATGAAGTCAAACATGTGTTTCCATGTTTGATACCATTCCATTTATTCCATTCCAGCCAGTACAATGTGCCAGTCCTCCTATAGCTCCTCCCACTAGCCTCTTCTGAGACAGAGAGGATAGGATCAGGAGATCATGTCCCTCTTCCCTCTAGTCTCGCGTTGCCACACTTCCAAGTCTTGTTCACTTGGCTATTGAAACAAAAGTAAGAAAGCCCTAAATCGTACTTACGTATGAGCTACAACCCACTGGACTGGACTGTCCTGGTGATGGAAACACATTGTACCCTTCTAATCAGATAATTAAATTAAGTGAGTATGTGTTCATTAATCAAAGTGTGAGTATAATATGGCACAAATCTGTTCTATCGTCAGCTAGTGCTGTGTACAGTAAATGTATGAAGATGATGGAAAGAACGTGAACTGAACTGTGGAAAAAAAAGGAACATGAACAAATTAGTAGAGTAAAGTCCTCTAATAAAAGAAATCTGTCTTTCTCTTTTAGGTAACCAAAAGTATCTGTTCTAAATGACCTTAAGATGAGTGAGATCGAAGAAATGATGAGGTGAGACAATGAGATGTATATTTACATTCTTTAATTCAAATTCTCTCTGTACAGATACAATGGCTCGGAAAACAACCAACATATGAATGGAGGTAAGAGCCATGGAAGAGTAGTCAAAGTGGGAACGTTAGTAGTATCTACATGGTGAGAGAAGTATCTACACTTACAAATGTGTCTTCAGTTAAAATCATCCACACCCTGCTTTGGGTTGAGGAAAGGGCGGACCTCATTTCATTCTCCATGGTCTTACAGTAATATCTTTAATGGATTAAGTCTTGAGCAGCGTTATCAACGGGATCATATTCCCCCCAAGGGGAAGAGTGTGGCTTTTAAGAAACATCAAGGAGTAAAAACTGTGGGTTAACTGAGACCTATTCTTAGTACTAAGAGGAATGGCTGTGTATGTAAGTCTATCTCCCATGAGGTATTACACTTCTCAACTGGGAAAGAGATCTAGACAGAAGTAAGTCTGTATTTTAATGATTAAATTACCACAATGAAATATATAAAAAATACAATGATAGAAATGAAATAACCTCTAATGTTGCATTAACTGTACAGAGATATATCTTTCGATTTGTAAAAGCTACCAAAAAAGAATCCTTTGACATTGTCCTAAAGGCACCATAGAGAAGAGGTCCCTGTGCTGAATTATTTCAAATCAGAAAGCCTTATTCTGTTACAAGCCTGGGGAGCACAACCACAAACTTACAGTTGTGAAACACAACCATGCTGAGAAAAAAAAGAAGAAAAAATATATACTCCAATGGATGGAGTATTCTCACATGGATTCTCCAGCAGTGGTATTAGGTGAATGAATCTGTGCATTGTATGGCTTTATGCCATACAAATTTAATTCTGAGGGGCTAAACTTATTATCATCATAAAGATGTGTATCTGAAGAACAGGAACTATAACACAATGGTTACCACCATACATGATTGTGCAATAGACTCTTCATGCTATAAAACACATGTTGCCAATAGGCAGGGGACCTGTCTTCTGACCATGCAGATATCATTAGTGGATTTGCTTTCTAGAAGTTGTCAAAGGGGAAGGATAATTAAGATAGAAAACAGCATGTACATAAATGCAAAAAGCAGACACACATTTTAAAAGGATGAGAAAACAGTTTGTCCAGCACCCCAAAAAAAATTATACCCAGGATTACTCTGGGCACCACACCTCTCCTCCTCTTTGTTCTCCTCCTCTCCGTTTCCTCTCCCCCAATCTGTTCAAATGACCTCCTCTGTTGGCATCGAGTCCCTCCTCCCTCCTCCCCACCCTGGAATTCATAACCCGCCTGCCCCCCCTGGTGGCAGGGCACTGGAACAACTCTGTATTCCTGGCCAGACTGGGGAGTTCTCTGGTCTCCAGAGGTAAATGGGAAAGCCATTGGTGGGCAGGGATCAGACCCGACTGGTTGGATGGCAGCGGTAGGTGCAGTTGGAGAGGGGGTCGCGCTCAGCCCCCCCATCAGCACTCTGTGAGCAGCACCCCTCACAATGAGACTCTGGAACACATAGAGAGAGAGTGGATGATCACCACACAGAGATCTGAAAACTCAAGACGCTTCTATCTACACTATAAATCTGCCTCATATTAGCTTATTTCAAACAGTCCCCTATGGGGCATTAGACAAGGATTACATATCAAAGTGTTACTGAGTGAGACAGTGTGACTGATTGTGTACGTAAGACTGAGCCTAATACACCGTGAAAGGTACTGACAACATACTGTACATAGCAACAAGACCCACTGGGGTTGAACAAAACAGCTAAATTAAGTCTTTTTTGGGGGGGGGGATGGGTGGCATTCACAATATCATGTCGTGTCTCCAATTATTCAATTACGTTTTGCTACAATTAGTCCCAACTTGTGTGGTGTGGCGGTGCTTTGCCCCACTGACCGGTGGTGTGCTCTGTCTCTGTGGCCTCGGGCAGCAGGTGGGCTCGGTGGGGGCAGGGCAAGGTGGTCTGGCTAGGGCCCTCCTGACTGGTGCCCAGCTGCAGACGCCTCATGTGGCGCACCACTGCCGTTGCATTAAACGCTTGCTGCAGGAGGGAACACATTCAAATCAGAATGTTTAATAGTGATACATAATAAATGCAAAAGATAACTGTACTGACAATGAAAGACAGCTGAATGCTGCAGGATTCTACTTATATACTAAACACAGCAAAAATGTCTTTGCATTTTGAAGAGGGCCAGATTCACAGAAAAGGCAACTCACCCTCCACTTGCTCTTGGCAAAGTTCTTCTTGATCTGGGCACTGACAGACTCATGGATGTTCTTATCTAGAGCTGTGTCACCAGCGATCCTGAGGGACAGAGAAAGACATGAGGGGACGAGTTCAGCTGGTTGTCACAAGAACAGGTGAAAACTTGGCAAAAGCACAAATTGAGTAGATGATGCTCGACATAATAAAGTTGTGTTATGTGCATGCCTGTGTGTGTGTGTGTGTGTATTGTGAAGGAGAAGATGGTGTACACTACCAGGGGTGCTGCAGAGCCTGGTTACATGTGTAGCGTATCCTGGGGTCCTTCTCCATCAAGTGAACTATGAAGTCTTTGGCTGAAAACAACACATGAACAGACACACATTTACAACTCACATATTTCACCCAAAGACAATGCCTTTTTTCTTAATTTACAGTATCGAATAATGCTACTTACAGATGACAAAAAGGTAGCTGAAGTAGAAATAGACTAGCTCCCAGGCTACTACAGTAAAATAGGCTTCACTGCAGCAGAAACACTGTCCAGACTGACAGTAAAAAACAAAATGTCCACATGCCTTTGACCTGACTTCAGAAACTCCCTACAGGACTAAGAAATGTGGGGGCTCTAAGAAATGGTGATCTCACAGGGCCTCAGTGATTGTTCTATGGCCAGTGAGTGTATTATGGTTAATCCCATACACACTGACGACTTGGTAGACACTGAAAGCTTGGCAGACACTCAAAGCATAACAAACCCTAGACCTAGGGAGTAATTTCCATTAATATGAAACTGCTGACAAGGGGAACTAATAATGGCACCATAATGTTATACATACTGTATTGCACTATGCTGTAGTGTCCAGGTTTAGTTTCTCTCTCCAGGCAGCAGAGAAAAGAGAGGAGAGGTATACTGTACCTGAATCAGAGATATCGTCCCAGTACGGAGAGTCAAACTCATATTCAGCCTTCAGGATCTGCTCAAAGAGCTTGGCGTCATTCTCGTCATAGAACGGAGGATATCCACACAAACTGTGTCAGAATAAGAGTGTAAAGGCATCACGGGAGAGTTAGGGGACCTGTTGTAATGCTTTTATACTTGAAAATACATCCATGATCTGGTATGAGTTGATTGTTAAAAACAATGTAGTGGAAAGAAATGTAACACAGCAATTCTGTTTTAAGACTGGTAGGAGAAAGACTAAAGTGAAAAAGTAAGTCCAAGCGCATGACTCACAGGATGTAGGCGATGACACCGATAGACCAGCAGTCCACCGCCTTGCTGTAGGGTTTCTGGGCCAACACTTCAGGGGCTGCAAGATATCAGAGCAGTGTTTTCATCAGCATCATTACACATGTAGCCTGACATGATCACTGGGTGTGTGCTTGCTCTCAAAACAGACTAAATCATAGAAAACACATGCTCTTGACACATAGATAAAGACAGACACACACAGGCATGCACTGATCAGTGCCAGTCCTCCTTACCCACGTATCCTGGTGTTCCGCAGGCTGTGGACATGACACTTCCAGATCCCTCGATCTTGGACAGACCAAAGTCACTGATCATGATCTTAGAGTCCTCCTCCATACTGTCGTACAGAAGGTTCTCCGGCTGGGCAAGAAGACACAGAATTCAATCAACTTTATTGTCAACAAACATTTAACACACACACACACACACTGGGGAAATAATTAGTTATCCAAACTAATGATCAATCAGTTTACACTCTGCTGAACTGCCTGTAAACAAATTAGCTCATTAGAGGAGTAAAAGCAAATCATCTCATTTGCTTGGGACAAATACTAGCGTAGGCAACAAACATTTTCCATACTACAAGGTCACCCTTTAACATTTTACATTACATTTTAGTCATTTAGCAGACGCTCTTATCCAGAGCGACATAACCTCTCGTAATTAGTAATATACTAATTGCTAAAAGGTAAAATTGTGAAAATTCAACGTTGCAGTTTTCATAGTGGGGATACCTATCACTCATCCAGTCTTGTGACTATTCAGTCATTGAACAGAAACGAGAAGGTAAAGGACTCCATTGTTAAAGACTCTGAAATCTCCTCTTTCATGCCATTTGACCTTCCCTTACAATGCCAACCTAAATGTCGTCCTCACCACCTGACCCTTGACCCAGGCTCACCTTCAGGTCGCGGTGTACGATGCCCATGTCATGGAGGTATTTGACAGCATCCAGGATCTGCTGAATGAGCTTGCTGGCATCTTTCTCTGTGTAGAAGCCCTTCTCCACAATCCTGTCAAACAGCTCCCCACCAGACACCCTGGACAGAAAAGAGGAACGATTGTGATGTACATATGGCCATCTAACTGCTACATATGGCCAGCTAACTGCTAGATATGGCCATCTAACTGCTACATATGGCCAGCTAACTGCTAGATATGGCCATCTAACTGCTACATATGGCCATCTAACTGCTACATATGGCCAGCTAACTGCTACATATGGCCATCTAACTGCTACATATGGCCAGCTAACTGCTAGATATGGCCATCTAACTGCTACATATGGCCATCTAACTGCTACATATGGTAATCGCTCCTGAGTGGTGCAGCGGTCTAAGGCACTGCATCTCAGTGCTTGAGGCGTCACTACAGACCCCCTGGTTCGATTCCAGGCTGTATCACAACCGGCTGTGATTGGGAGTCCCATAGGGCAGCGCACAATTGGCCCAGCGTTGGCTGGTCTAGGCCGTCATTGTAAATAAGAATTTGTTCTTAACTGACTTGCCTAGTTAAATAAAGGTAAAAAAATATATATTCTAACTTCAACCTGCTATAAGCCTACATCACCACTAGGTGGAGGCATCGCTTCTTCCTAAATGTACCCACCACTGCGCTCTGTGATTCAGCGCTAACAACAAGCTAAAGCCCTGTCAAGCTTCCTCCCAGAGAGAGAGGGAGAAAGAGTTAGGGAGTGAGAGAGAGATAGAGGGGATTTTTATGTGTGCAAACCCCTTACGGCAGTGTTGCTAAAGTGAACACGACACCCCTCCGTCATCTCACCACCCACTGTTTTCAACAGCAAAAAAAACTCTCTCTTTCTCCCTCACTCCCCCCTTTCTCTCTGTCTCTAACTCACTCCACACCTTCTGACATTTCAGGAGGAGAGATGGGTGGTAGGCAGCAAGGTTACCGGTGTGAGGGCATATTCCCCAGTGGTTGTCAGCAGGCACGATAATGCGACTGTATGTCTGTATGTGTGTGTGTGGGGCGAGTTAGAGACAGAGATCAGTCAACAGAAAGGCCCCTGAGCTCAGAGAGTAATTCATGGAGAATGACACTGTGCGTGGGAGACAGCGCAGGCAGGGAGTCTGAAACACACACATTGCAGAGGCATAATCATGAACGTTTTTAAACTGAAGGCTGCAGAGAGTGAGTTGATATAGGGACATAAAGTGTTTACGTGGGTAGAAGTGGAGAATAGAGAGAGATAGCAGATAGAGGGACATAATAAAGACAGGATGATCACTCACAGCTGCATAATCAAGTAGAGGTGGGTTTTACTCTCAAAGATGTCCTCAAGGGAGACAATGTTGGCATGTTTTAACCTAGAGAGAGAGGGAGAGAGAGAGGGAGAGAACTTTAGAGTCAGAGTCACAAACATTGTACACTGAGTATACAAAACATTAAGAACACCTGTTCTTACCATGACATAGACTGACCAGGTGAATCCAGGTGAAAGCTATGATCCCTTATTGATGTCACTTGTTAAATCCACTTAAATCAGTGTAGATGAAGGGGAGGAGACAGGTTAAATAAGGATTTTTAAGCCTTGAGACAATTGAGACATGGATTGTGTATGTGTGCCATTCAGAGTGTGACAAAAGATTTAAGTTCATTTGAACGTGGTATGGTTGTAGGTGCCGGTTTGTGTCAAGAACGCTGCTGGGTTTTTCACGCTCAACAGTTTCCCGTGCGTATCAAGAATGGTCCACCTAGGGCTGTGGCGGTCACGAAATCTCGTCAGCCAGTGATTGTCAAGCAAATAACTGTCGGTCTCACGGTAATTGACCGTTAATTAACACAAACATATTTAGCATCTCCTGGCTTACACACATAGCCTACAAGCCACTGATGCAGACCTTTGGAACATCTACATTTGAAAAGGTCTAACAAATCCATGTAATATAGCCTACACCTTCACAATAAATCCATTATTTAATTTAGACAGGTCTAAAGAAAAAAAGAATAGCATACTCTGAGTTGTCCTTATGTTAGGTCCTGATGAGGCTATGCCAAATGGCTGTGGGCTACACTAGTTCACTTAGCAGACAAGATTTTCTTAGAATTCCGTGGCATTATTTTATATAATTTTATAGTATGAAGAATACAATTGAACAAAGCTGAATTAAATATAAATATTTTCTCCAAACGATTTGAGGGAGTGCGCACATGCAGCTCTTCTGTGTTGAGCGGTTAACAAAGAAATAGGTACTCCTATATACTTAATTTAGAGTTTTAATGTAACTTTATTTGTTCTACAAACGTTGGGCTATATATATTCATTTTTAATACATTGTAAGGCTGCATGATGAGACTAATGATGATTAAAAAAAAGTTGCTTGAAAGGTATGAGCTTTACTTAGTTTTTTGTGCAGGCTGTACACACTTCAATAGTCTCTCATTCACAATTTGACAAGCCTCAAATTTCACAGCGGCATCCCCTTTGTGGCCGTAACGCACCCTAAAAAAATCCATGCCTTTTGCGGCCTGGAGTGCTGCATTGTGCCCTTCTCCCTGAGTGCTGTGCAATCCGAAGCGCATCTTACTCACATGGCTCTCCATCACATGATCAGGTCTTTCTCACAGGCTACAGGTGAAGACAGACACATCGGGGACGCAACTGCGAGTGTCCTTATCCAATTCTGAGGTGCATATTGAAGATATTGGAAGAACTGTCCACATTTACTTTTCGTCAGCCAACAAGATGAGTAGGCCTAATGAACAGCAAAAGCACTAGCCTATGTCAATCTACTATCCCCATAGTACAAAAGTCAACCTATTCTATTCTGTGCAATAAATAAATATTCCAAACATAGTCTGGGACAGTTGGGGGTGCAATAGATCCCAAATTAATACAACCACTAGCATCAAAAAAACATTTTTTACACAATGTGACTGACGCAACAGATCAGAACGTTTAGCTTAAAATGTTGATAAACTATTGGGCTATTTCTTCACATTATAAGCGCAGCAATGCGCACATGGCAGTAGGCTATAAGTGCAAATGTTCCATTAGCGGGAAAACACCTTTATCAAAAGTGACTGCAAATGTGATTATGCATGTAATGCTTTTATTATAAAGGTGCATTTTTAAGGTGAACATTATCTTCCCCAAACTTGAAACTCACGCGCTGCTTATGTATGCCAGTTAGGCTCCAAACCCATTGTAAAGCGGATTAATGTGCTTAATTTTAAGAAGTTTTTTGGCCACTTTAGTTGTGATACAAACCTTATCAAAACATATAGGCCATATATGATTCGAAAAAAGTCGCAAAAAAAAGGCTGTTTCTTATGCTGGGCATCATTCACAAGTGAAATATATATAATTCACAAGCGATAGGCTAATATTGTCACCCATCAGACTATTCTTGATTTAATCTTGTCTTTACATATACTAAATAATATATGTGTGACATTTGTTTTGATTTAGAATGGACCATTATCATGCACCTGTATCGAAACAGGGGCAGCGGGAAAAAAATACATGTCATCTATGCACTTAAATAGTGAATGGAGGACACATTTCCTGTGGTTCATTTTCACGCCAGCCAGGTAGGCTATTCTCATTTTACATTTACATTTTAGTCATTTAGCAGACGCTCTTATCCAGAGCGACTTACAGTTAGTGAGTGCATACATTTTTCATACTGGCCCCCCGTGGAAAACGAACCCACAACCCTGGCGTTGCAAGCGCCATGCTCTACCAACTGAGCTACAGGAGGCCACTCCTGTTCTAAAGATAAACAATGTGCTTAATATTAGTTGAGAAATAAATATAGTAGGCCTAGTCTATAGAAAGCTGATGGGATCCTCCTCTTTTTAGTAGAGGCCATCACTCTGTTTTCTCGCACAATTGCATAGCCTATAGAAATGTTGCGCAACATGAGCTCATGGGCTCTCATTAAGTGTTTGATTAGATTTTCGAAGACATTTGCATTGATGTCAGAGGGATTAGAGGGACAATAGATTGCTGAGTACCAGGCAGTTAGCAAGTTTGGTAGGCTACTAATGACCAGCAGCATCATCAGAGCTTGGAGAAGCCTAATTACCGTGACTAAACGGTCACGTGGAATTTGACTACCTTCATGACTCGTGATGGCCGGTGTGGCGGTAATACGGTCACCGCAACAGCCCTAGGTCCGCCACCCAAAGGACATCCAACCAACTTGACAAAACTGTGGGAAGAATTGGAATTGACATGGGCCAGCATCCCTGTGGAACGCTTTCGACACCTTGTAGAGTCCATGCCCCGACAAATTGAGGTGGTTCTGAGGGCAAAAGTGGGCGGTGCAACTCAATATTAGGAAGGTTGTCACGCCCTGACTCTGGGGACTCTTATTTGTTGAGTCAGGGTGTGATTTTCTATGTTGTATTTTCTATGTTTGGATCTAGTATGTTCTAGATCTATGTTGGCCGGTGTGGTTCCCAATCAGAGGCAGCTGTCGCTCGTTGTCTCTGATTGGGGACCATACTTAGGCAGCCTATTGGCACTAGTGGGATGTGGGATCTTGTTCCGTGTAGGTATGTTTTGTGTTCTACCTTGGACCACCATGTTACGGGGGCTATTGGTTCAGAGGGAGCAGGAGTTATTTGGTCAGAGGGAGGTGCTACAGGAGGCTAAAAGGGAGAAGGAAAGTGTAGAGGCACGGCGAGAGGAGCTGGTTAGGCAGCAGAAGGAGCGGGGGTTAATAAAGGAACCCAGTCCCGCTCCTCGCACCAAGCAAGTGGTGCATGTCGCCAGTCCGGTCCGGCCCGTTCCTGCTTTCCGCACTAAGCCAGTGGTGCGTGTTCCCAGTACGGCCCGACCCGTTCCTGTCCCTCGCACCAAGCCAGTGGTGCGCGTCGCCAGCCCGGTCCGGCCTGTTCCTGCCCCTCGCACCAAGGCAGTGGTGCGCGTCGCCAGCCCGGCCCGGCCTGTTCCTGTCCCTCGCACCAAGCCAGTGGTGCGCGTCGCCAGCCCGGCCTGTTCCTGCCCCTCGCACCAAGCCAGTGGTGCGCGTCGCCAGCCCGGCCCGGCCTGTTCCTGCTCCTCGCACCAAGCCAGTGGTGCGCGTCGCCAGCCCGGTCCGGCCTGTTCCTGTCCCTCGCACCAAGCCAGTGGTGCGCGTCGCCAACCCGGTCCGGCCTGTTCCAGCCCCTCGCACCCAGCCAGTGGTGCGCGTCGCCAGCCCGGCCTGTTCCTGCCCCTCGCACCAAGCCAGTGGTGCGCGTCGCCAGCCCGGTCCGGCCAGTTCCTGCCCCTCGCACCAAGCCAGTGGTGCGCGTTGCCAGCCCGGCCCGGCCTGTTCCTGCTCCTCGCACCAAGCCAGTGGTGCGCGTCGCCAGCCCGGTCCGGCCTGTTCCTGCTCCTCGCACCAAGCCAGTGGTGCACGTCGCCAGCCCAGTCCGGCCTGTTCCTGCCCCTCGCACCAAGCCAGTGGTGCGCGTCGCCAGAGCAGTCCGCTCCACCGGTGCCTAGTCCAGCTCCGGTCAGCGGCTCCAGTCCGGAGCCTGAGCAGTCCGCTCCACCGGTGCCCGGTCCAGCTCCGGTCAGCGGCTTCAGTCCAGACCCAGACGTCAGCCCCTCTCCAGGTTCGGGGTCTCCCACACCAGGGTCCAGACAGGGCTTGGAGTATAGTGGGAGGAAGGAGAGGGGAAGCAACGCGCCGAGGTCTAGACCAGACCAGGGGCGCAACAGGGAGGCGAAGAGTGAGAGGTCGTCACGCCCTGAGCCGGATCCGCCTCCGAGGCGGAATGCTCACCCGTCCCCTACCCTGTTATGTTTATGTTGTGCGCACCTTTGGGGGGGGGGGGTACTGTCACGCCCTGACTCTGGGGACTCTTATTTGTTGAGTCAGGGTGTGATTTTCTATGTTGTATTTTCTATGTTTGGATCTAGTATGTTCTAGATCTCTGTTGGCCGGTGTGGTTCCCAATCAGAGGCAGCTGTCGCTCGTTGTCTCTGATTGGGGACCATACTTAGGCAGCCTATTGGCACTAGTGGGATGTGGGATCTTGTTCCGTGTAGGTATGTTTTCTGTTCTACCTTGGACATCACGTTTTGTTTGTTTATTGTTTTGTCGGTTGTTTATTCATTAATAATAAACATGTACGCATATCACGCTGCGCCTTGGTCCGTCCCGTCAATGAATGAATGTGACAAAGGTGTTCCTAATGTTTTGTATACTCAGTGTACGTTACCATGAGAAATACGGAACAGTCTTTTTCTTGACAAAGTGTGATTGTTAAAAATAGCATTGTGTGATTTTCTCTTAGATCATTCAGATCATTTTTGTATCTAAATTAACTTCATAGGGAGCACTATATGAAAAAATATAAAAGTATATA